GAGAGCCGTGTGCCGCCATGGGCCGTTGCAAGGAGGCCCAATGCCTCACCTTGGTTTTTGACCCAGCCGTACAAAAAAAATAATAATAATAATCACCATCCGCCACGGTGCAAGTGCCGTCCACGTGCTCGCTCACGTGCCGACGAGTTCATGGGAAAACGTCAAACGTAAATACCATCGGGCCACTTCAGCTACTGCACAACCCCACTAAAGGCCCCTCCGTGGCGGCTGCCCACTACACCTCGAAAAGTGCAGAGAGTGTCGTAGACAACGTGTGACGCAGAAAACCGCACATGCAAGCACTTGTCTTTCTGTGCACACACATTTGGAGGCACTACAGGTAGGAAAACAATGAAAAGAAGAAGGCACTATTGGGGCAATAGTTTATTATTTTTATTCTTTTATTCATTCATACATTACCAGACGCACGTCACGCCAGCCCATTCCCCTATCGCAAAATCTAAGCAATAAAAGAAAAGAGGGAAAGCATTGTCTGTGGGCTCACGTTATTCAACTACTACAGCCTCCCCACTGCCATTGTGGCGAAGGCAGCGGCTGTTCCCTCTTTTTGTAGACACCGATGGTGTCGTTCCCGGCGTAAACAAGACCCATTTCTTGAGGATACCACCGACGCAACTCACGACGAACTGTGTACTCCTTGACAAGCTTGTAATGTGTGTAAAGCAACTCGTGAAACCGCCAGTCCCCCGTTGATGCCACGTCTCCAATGTAAATAACAACGTTTCCCCCAGCCTGGGTAAAGTACTCCAGTGACTCAAAGCCCATGGAACTCTGCTCCTCCTGGGGGGAACCAAATGGTGGCCAACACAGGAGCAAAACAGATTTAGCACAATTTAGAGAGAGAAGTGAAGCTGGGCCTCCTAACGAAACTGCAACGCTGTAGGGACAGTTTAATGCAACTTCATCAAAAGCAAAAATAGGTATTTTTTTATGTGGATAAAAGCAGGCATGCACACCCTCAAAAGAGGACGTACCCAAAGACACATCCGGACCGTTTGGAACTGCCGCCACGCCATTTGCCACTCTGTTAAAAACATGTTCTATGTATCCACTGCCGCTACCAATGCTGACGAGTGCCACCATCTCAGGTAGCGCTCGATACGCAGCATCCAATGCATCCTTTACACATTTGGGTGAAACCAAACTCCAAGCAAATGCCATAGATGAGAGACGGTGTGCCTCGTAGGTTAGAGGTATCTTTAAAATATCCGGTATTGCCTCTCGATACCGATCTATGACGGTTTTGAAGATTTGGTAATCATCGCCAGCTGCTTCCAGTACAGTCCCTATTAAATAAGTCAGATGTGGATGGTAGCACATTAAGGAACAGTTAGGGCATTGGCGGTAGTAGTATGTTTCACCAACCTTACCTTGACTGTTTTCGTCTATACCCTCATACCCACACACAGCACAGTTCCACAGATCCTGATCCTCCTGCAAGCGTGACACCGTAACGAGACGATCGAACTCCTTGTTAGCGTCATGTGCTGGACGCACCAGGGGCGTATTTCCAGCAACATGAGGCAAAAAACAGACGCAAGAAAATGGACAAAAGCCATAGGCCTCGTAAACGGGGCACACACGCAGTCGTTGCGGAGACGAAGCCAGATCCAGCGAGGGTAAAGGCGGAGGAATACCTCCTGTTCCCGCAAAAAAAGGCGACGGACGAGCGAGCATCACATGCTTCGATGCTCTTCGCTGATTGCCGTACACACCAGAAACGTAGCATGTGAGCTTACACATGGGGCAATAACAGGAACTTTCGCCACCATCGTGTAAGGCCATTTTTTTCTACGTGTCTCAAGGAAACCAAAGGAAAAAAAATATTATATTATATTATATATATATTTATTAGTCGGAGAAAATGTGTGACGCTTGTTTAAAGTACCTAACATAAGGGTTTGCAGCGAGGAGGAGAGAAGAAAAGCCCAAAAAGAACAACAACCAAAAATGGCGGATGACGGGATCAAAAAAAAAAAATATATCACACACACACACAAAACAAAACTTCAAATCCAGCTTGAAAAGCAACAAAACAAGTTGTTTCAGGTAAATGGCGAGCCCCTGCCTCCTCTCTAAAGTGAATGCTACGAAGGCAACAGGAGTGGGTCTGAGGTGATTCTTTTCCATTTGTTTCTTATTCTTTTCCCCCTGTTTTTTTTTAATAATTATTTTCCATTCCTTCGTAAGTTTCATTGACCCTTCTGCTCCCAATTCCCGCGAAGGCTTCTCTCTTCTTTTTCGGTTTCATGTGGATGGGTGCGTGTCTCTTCTCTTGCGTGTGCAAACGATATGAACGTCCTTCAAGATTGTGAGTACGGCGGAACAGCGCGCATGTAAACTCGGTACCCCACCGGCTTTTTATCACGCGATGTATGTTTCATTTCATGTCCTTCTAGTAATGTTGCTCCCATTCTTAACATGTACATGCCTGTTTTTATTACCTCTTCTTGGGTTGTTGTTGTTGTGTTGGCTCTTCCTCGCACTGTACTTGCATCAGACGCCAATCTCTCGCTTCCGGCAGACCCCAGACAAAATGTGTCAGCCCGTTCCTGCTTTATAACCTCACCCTTGTTGCATAACCAACATGCACACCCAGTGTCCGTTATTCTCCTCACTTTTTCCTCTGCTCTGATTTAGAAATCGTCGCTAAGGTTCTGGTCGCCCCTGCTCGAGTAGTTGTCGCCGCCCCCGCGGCCTCCACTGCCACCAAAGCCTCGGCCACCGCCGCCACGGCCACGACCACCACCGCGGCCGCGTCCCGTGCCCTCCGGCGGTCGCGGGCCGGATGGCAACTTCGAACCCCCCGGTGAGGTCACATTTTCCGCGCGGGTGCGTCCATCCTGTGAAGCAACCTCAAATTCCACCTCCTGGCCTACGGCGAGGGAGCGAAACCCACCTGTTTCTGTCTGGAGAGCAGAGAAGTGCACGAAGTGCTGCTTCTTGTCCGCGTCGTCCTCAATGAAGCCGAAGCCACGTCCCGACATCCACGATATCACCTTTCCCTTGTTGTAAAGCACGCTGCATGGCGCAATACGACAGATGTACGAGGCACGAAACATGGAGAAGTTGTTCGTTGATTGCAAATGTGGCAAATTAGATTCCTCTTCTTTCCTTTTTGGTTGTAGTGCTAGATGCTTCCCCTTCACCGCCCTGGCTTGGGGAGATAGAGAGAGAGAGAAAGAGAGAAATAAGGCAAGGAAGCAACTATGAGAAACACCAGAGATTTACCAATTGTGCAAGCTGAAGCAGGGAGGAAAAAATAGGAAAAGAATGGTAGGTGGGTGTAACTTACGGAAAGAATGTTGGTTGCGTTCCCTCCCCTCTGTGCTCGTTGAGTGCTTCCTGACAGAAGTCAAGCAAAACAACAAAGTTCCGTGTCCCTCCCAGCGCCTCAAAACTCAATGGGCATAACGCTGAACGAGTCCAAGATGTCACTATGGGTGATGGGGGCATCTATCTGGCCTCTCTTCTGAAGCAGACTCTCTAAACACCTCTGCTCCTCCCTCCATGTCAGCCACTCAATACTACTTAGGCAATGTGAAGAAGTTTTTAATGATGCCTCGCCATCTACTGTCACTCTATCCGCTTCAATCCCTTGACATGCGCCTACCATGAGGTCTTTCTGTAAAAAAACACGATGGCGCAGTGTGAAGCTAACCACACTACCCATATGTATAATGGGAAGCACTGCGGTAAGTCGCTCTTGGCTTTTCGCATACAAAGGCCGTTTCCCACCCTTCGTGTGTATATCGTCAAAAAAAAACATGATGTGATCGGTTGGTTTCACATTCAGCAACGCTCCCTCACGCGAGTAAGCAACGGTGACAGCCTGTAGGAATGGCTTGATGGCGCCAACACCATGGTCCGCACTACACTTAACGACTTGTCCTCTCAACCATGTTCCTACCATATGCGCACTCATCCAGTGTCCACTGCACCAACGAGACGTTCCACAAGAAAAATACAAAACAAAAAAAAAACAACAACAACGGGGAGAGAAATACTACGGTCTCTCTCCCATCTTTACTGTTTTACGCACCGCAAACAAACCGTTGCCCACCACGTTGGCAGACAAGAAGCACAGTAGCAGCAACAGCAACACCTTCTGTAGGAAGCAGTTGATAACGTAAAAGGGAAAGATCACGGAATGGTCGCTGGATCCTCGCCTCTTGAAAGCCGTAGTAGTCGCTCCTTTGCACGTAAGACATCCACAGAGTAGCCTTGCTCGTTTGCCTTCACCACAGTGTCCCATGGCACCTTCACCACTTCGCCATTTCGGTCAGTTTTTGCGTCAGAGCCACGGGCAGCCCGCGGTTTCGCCGCACGATCCTCTTCGTTGCCTTGTCGACGAACACGGTAAAACACCCCCTCCGCATCAAATGTGGGACGATGCATGTCTTCATGCAGCCTTAGCGAGCGCTGCAATCGACGACGTGCATTTGGCTTAGAATAGGGGGAATCATTATTCCCTGTTGACGTTGGTGCAATTGAAGAGGCCGAACTTGTTCCCCCCTCCTCTGTATCCCTGTGGAGCTTTGGTGGGGAGGAGAAAGTGCGGTCGTCGTCCTCTGGAAAGTACTTTGCAGTCCAATCCACCAAAGACGGGTCCAGAGTGGTTTCCTTCTCCATGGCTCGTTGACGCAAAAACGGAAATGCCGAATAAGGGGCGGTTCGCTTCTCATCCTTCAAGAGATCCATGGTGGCAGGCGTATTCTCCAGCACGGCCTCCTCACCTTGGCGACGTCGCGATTCCAAAAACTTCCTCCGCGTCAGATGTATCATTTGGTTTTGCCCTCCTTCGTTGGTCGCATTTTCACATTCCTCGTCTGCAAGCGGAGAAGTAGCACCGTCTTCACATGATGAAGCGCCTTCTTGAGCACCACATGGTGCAGACAGCAGACGGTTTTCCTCTCCCTCCTTCTGACACACCGTCAGTGCCCAAGAACGAAGCGCGTGTGGAAAGGAAAAGGTTGCTGCAGCCACGTAACTACGATATTCAGAGTCCATTTGGTTGGTGAGCTGCATATACTTCTTTGCGCTACGCACCTCCAGTTTAGTTGCGTCAATCATGTCTTTCAAACAGTCTTGTAGCAAAGACGCCAACTTCTCACGCAGTGCCACATCCTTAACCTTGCACCACGTTTCCTTCCGTCCATACAATCGTTCAGCATCATCCATGTAGGTTCGCTTCTTGTCCTGCAGCCATGGCGCCGTTGGAAGAGGACGCCGCTTCGAAAACCGCAAATCCCTCTGAAAATTACCGATCTCCCTAATGGTTTGAGGATCCGAGGAGCGACGTCGATACGGCTGTCTCCCATCCGTGTTGCAGCACCGCTGCTGACGTATAAACGCCTCACGCAGACAAACAAGGGCCTTGTTTCTGGAACGCCTCATAGTTAGGTCTTTGGAGCCACAGCTAACAGAACTACATCAGGCCACGCAGCACAAACGCAACCCCCAATCACAAAAAAAAAAAAAAAACAAATAAATTCCAAAGAATACCACAATAAGTGGTTCATATATATATATATGCATGCGGAGAGAGAAAGAACAACTGGGAAAGTATGAGCATGCCTTCCCATTTTCGCTTCTTCAGCTTTCTATTTTAGGAAACAAACAGATAAAAACTTCTTAAAAAATTAGTGCCGGTCTCCTCGGTGCGTGAAAGCATGTATCTATTTCCCTCTTTTAATTTCTTTTTTTTTTTTTCAGTCAGTTAAAATTGATGGCACAACCATTACGGAAAACCATCGCCACCCTAAAGATGATGATGGTATTTTCCACTTTATTTTCCCACACGTTTTATCAAGATGTAGACATCACTATTGTAGTGAATGTCCCGCAAGCTATGCGGACTACCAATAACTTGTGTCAAAAGTCCACCACAGCTAATGTGTACTCTAACATCCAAGCTACTTTCATCCACCTCATGGCCATACACGCGACCATGCATGGCGTAGTCGCAGTCCTGCAAACGTGTTTCACGGTGGTAGACACTCTGGTCGTAATGTTTTGCACCCGACTGCCCAGACAACTCAATGGAGTTCGCCAGCATAATAGTGAGACGATCATCCAAGCTTACTGGAAACTCCTCGGTGTTAATGTCAGCTGTGATGGTGAGATTTCCGCGCTCATTCTTGCAATGAATTCGCGAGACCCTAATGTAGACAACTCCATCCGGATTGAGAGCCGTGACCGTGAAGGTGTCCTCCAGAATTACAGGTACGGTCGCCATCCTCACTTTGGTCGCACAACACACAGGTTGACCGAAAGGGAGAAAAAAAAAAAAGTAGAGTGCAACCAAAAAAAGAGGCTTACAGTAAAAGCACATACACACACACTTTTACAACGCCGCAGCACATACGTTGGGTCAAGCAACACAAAACACCTACAAGATCAACAACAAAAATATACATCAACCTCCAGTAACGCACACGTGTTCGCAGCCCAGAGAAAGGTCGTCAGATTGCAACGTCAATGAAACATTTCGTGTATCATCTTGTAAACCAAGTCTGAGTAAACAAAGTTGCCTTCCATGTCCATCTCAGACCGCATCTCCTCAACGAACTCGTTCATTTCTTCTGTGCTCAAGCAGTCACCATACCTCGTCAGATAATAGCGTAGCTCATGTTGCGACAAGAACCCTTTGCCATCAGGATCAATTCCTTGAAACGCATTCTTAAGATCTTTCGCAGTTTTCATGTTTTGAAAAGCTATCATCATCACACGGCAAAAGCCATCGAAGTTCATGGACCCACGTCCATCAGGATCCGCCTCTATCTTCCAGGACTCTACGTCAGACTGAGAGGGTGTGGCTCCACATATCTGAAGGAGAGTGATAAGGTCCGCTAAAGGCACACGCCCAATTTTGTCACGGTCAAACACGTCATAGTTGCGCTTCAGAAACTGGCGAGTGACGTCATCGAACGCACTTGCCATTTCGAGCAAACTGCCCTCTCACACGAGGATTGAAAGAGACGAAGAGCAAAAAAAGAGTAACAACAATAGGACGTGATCGTCTTTAAATCACCAATATTCATTACATAATATTAAAACTCAACGACAGCAACAACAAGAAAAAAAAAAGCATTATTGTAGGCGGAAAATGCAAAATTGGAATTAAAATGCAAGATAATTTTTTTTTCTCTAACAATATTGGTCAGAGTAAACTTGAACAATTGGTAAAGAGTCCCTACAATGCAGGGATAGAGACAATACCCTGTGAAATCAATGGAGCTAACTCTTTTCTTATCCATACCAAAAAAGAAAAAGAGTCTGCACCACATTTTTTGGCATACAAATTAGATGCAGTTTGTAGTATATAAAAAATTTCTTCCCACGGTGCAAACTTATCTGCAAGCAAATACGCTGCATTCACACTAATACACTGAGAGTAGTGAAGAATAAAATAACTATCAACTGCATCATAAAAGAATCTTGTGCCTATGACTGCACCCGTGAGCTTGCGCATCCAAGCTAGACAAACACTTGAGTCTATGTCATCCAAATTCAAATAGGGCTTTATAGCATCCAACAATGCAGAACCCCTCTCCACACTTTCCATCACTTTTACCTCCATGTCTGACTCCAAAAAACGAAGCCGTGAGCCAGCATGCCAGCGACCGGGCTTGAAAAAAGGATCAGAAGAGGTCTCGGTCCCCGAAGCTGTTAAAAGGAAGTTTTCCCGAAACATTGATAGTACCTCAAAAAGTTTACTTTCCACCTCTTGTATCGTCCATTTTCCCCCGCCAGCAAATTCAAATTCGTGCTGTAAAACGAATCCTGCCGCAAATGGCGCCAAAAAAGGAAGAAAAGGGAAAGATAATCTCAATTCCTCAAAAGACACCTCAACTGTTTTCCCAACGGAGTCAATCATTCGCGGTCGCCCGCCCTGATTCCTCGATAAATGTTTTGAGCCAACTGCCTCAAAAAAAGTGCAAAACGCCTTCACAGTCGTGGAGGGGTCACCACTTCTAGCCCCTACTTCGGCAAGGCCTTTGCAAATTTCATAATAGAACGCATCATCAAAGAAGTAGTTCATCCTTGGGATAGTACAAGTGGGCAAAATTGGAAAAAAATTCAAAAACGCTGCAATCGCCTCACAAACGTTATCAAAAAACGCAGGAACATCGGCAAACACCTCATCAGCTATAGAACGCAAAATATGTTCATAAACGTTTTCCAAGGCATCACGAAGCTCCTCTTCACCGAGACATGCTTCCGCTATAACAAGGGCGAAAAAACTCCCTATCGCACCCCAACTTGTTAGCACGGAGAACTAGGGGAAAATATTTTTCCATATATGTTTTCAGCATACTTTTGTGGCGTAATTCATTGGCAGTAAGAGAAGCAGTCAAGCTATCTACTACCCGATAATATCCCGCTTTTTCCCAATATAAAAGCTGAGCATGAAACCCAGGATTTGGATTTGCTACGGGACGGGCGTTTTTCACGATTAAGAGTGCCTCATCCTTAGAGCACCCACTTCGCTTCATGATATAGGCTGCAACCACTGCAACAGAACGACTCGCACCCACAAGGCAATGAACCCCCAAAGAATGTAAAGGTAGACAAGATTTTTGAAGATTTTTTCGATTTACCATCACTAGCTCTATAAGTGTACATAATTCAGAAAAGTGACGGCTAATATCATACGCTGCACTATCTTCAGCAGGAACTGAGCGGATAAAAACCTTCCGTAATTGAACCTCCTCGGGCGTTTCTTGGCTCGTGTAATGATCAAGACTAGTTAGAAATTCAGAAAACGACGGCAATTTGGTATAAACGCAGCATTGTGTATCATAAGAATACTCATACACTCTATACGGGGCGACATAATCGCTTCCATTTAATGTTAAAATAAGAGAAATCCCACTTCTTTGTGCAAAACAACGATTGCATATGGTTTCCTCACACGTCAAGAAAAGTCCCTCAAAAATCTTACTTAATGGTCGCCATGGTGCATCATTTTCAATAGCGATTGTTTCTATGGTTGGGACAATTCTTTGTTGTGGAGACCAGTGGATCTTCTTGAGAACATCATACATGCCAACTTCAACCTAAACAACAAAAGTTTTCAAAAGCGGGTAGAAGCAAACACATTATTAGTAAAGCTATGTTCCCACCCCTCACAAAAGAAACAAAAAATTCCAAACGGTATCAAACATCAAGATGAAAGCAAACAGATCACTCCTATATATGGAGTATCTACAACATTTCTTCTTATTTCTGTTATTGAGAGTCATCGCTACGTATCCAGCCAAGAACGTCATTGGCGACATTTGATACAACACGTTGTTGCTCTGAACGTCTCACAGTTCTCTGACCAAATTGTTCCATGTCCTTTCTACGTTCGTGAAACTCCATCTTTTTCATCATGTGATAAGCCTCCAGTTGGTCCGGCGAGCAATTTATAGAGGCAATACCCCTCGAGGCTAGCGTACGATTTTTCCTATGTGGTCGTGGTGGGGATTGTATAACGGTGTTGATCGTAAACTCGGGGTCGTTTATTCCCTCAAGTAGAGACTTTAGAGCGCCAATGTGAGCATCTCTAACATATTCTGTGGCTTCTCGGTCAAGATTTCTACCTATATTGTCCAAACCATATGGATCCTTGATGGCAAACTCGAAAAACGGTGGTCGTCCAGTTTCCAGTCCAGGAGATTTTTCCCAGCGCATTGTTTTCTTAAGAAGATTTGTATTTGTTGTACAAACGACACCTTTTTCATAATCAAAAATACGACTGTAGTATTCAAAAAAGGCTGCGGTTAAAAATCCGAGTTCTGCAACGTCGGAGTCTTTACCATCATGAAGTGGACGATAATCTGGAAATAATGGAAGAAGCTGTGGCTCATCTGTAGAACGCAGCGTTGACACTTTAGGTATTTTCCCAACTTTGATCAAAAAATGAGTACACATAACAGTTAAGGCATAACTTGCAAGAAGGCCATCTATCGAGTTTACAACTCCGCTACTTCGACCCCACTTCTTGATCAAAAGAAGTAAATGCCTAGAAAATTCGTAATGTGAAAGAGCATTACCCAAAAGGTATGAGTTTCTCAGGCCTATAGATGAGAAACAAAAATCAAAGGGTAGCCTGTATATTTCTGGTCCATTTCTTGGATCAACCGGAAGACGAAGAGGAATATCGATTCCTTCATGCCGTTTTACCTGTGTCAGTGCAGATATGAGCGCTGTGGTAGACGCAAATTCAATCGTTGCAAACTGATGGTTGTTATTCCAGTCAACAAGAGTGGCAGAATAGTTTTCTTGCATCCGCGTACGGAACGTTTCTGTTTCAGTATTATTTAGCTGTCGTGTAAATTGAAACAAACCACAGGCAGACAAGTGATGAAGTGGTGTACCAGGAAGCAATTTACTCACTCTATCAACCTTTATAATAGGAACACGAGCTCTTGGTAATGCACCACTTTTCATACCGAGGCGTCGCATTTCTCGCGATAAACGGGACACAATATCACCTGCTTCTCCAATTCCAGGTTCAACGTCAAGAACACCCACAAAATCCACATCTCCCCCCACTTCTAAAAGTCCCAAAACCACCAATCCACCAAACACGTAAACATTCGCATCATATCCGGCGGACTGAACAAGAGTTTCTAGTTGTTGTCTAGCAATAGCACACTCTTCAAAGGCCAAGCGACCGGTATCTGCAGCTAGGGCCTGTTGGACCACACAATTCCCGATGCCCTCCCAGCGAATATCATCCCTAGGGGGAATAGAGGATGTCCAAGGTAACGCAAAGCATCTTTTAGCACCTTCCCTTGGCCATTGGCTGTTCAGAAACCGTCTCATGGAACCTGAAATAAATAGGGAAAAAGATTTAAATATGTATCACTCTGGAGACAAGATACCGTAAACCTTATTGCATCAAATAAATGTACGAGAAAAACCGTGATGTAAACCAAAACACATACACACACGTACGTTTCACTCATGACGCAAAACAACTACAATAATGCAATAATAATAAGTAATAAAATGTGCTAGCGCAAAGCACCATACAAATGATTTAGGTTTTCTATGACCTGAAAGTATTGACCGCCAAACATGGAAATAAAAGAGCGATCAGAACTCAAAACATCCGATCCATCTCCCATTACCAATCTTGGAATTTGTGCAAAACGCTTCTCAGAATCTTCCAAACCAAAGATAGTAAGAAGAAACACTGACCTTCTCTCGGATAAAAAGGTGGGGGTAATATCTCTTATTATGTTACCTCTATCAGACTCCTCTGTTCCCACTGCCTCTTGTAAAGAAGTAAGTATATGTTGTCCTATTATCTTGGCTTTATCAGACGAATACAATGGAAGCGATAATTGACGATACAACTTAACATCTGAAGAACGCTTTTTAGTCTCAAAACTGGGTTTTGTTAGCAATTTCACAACTTTTTTCTTCGGTGTTTTCTGTCGCTCATCATCTTCTTTATTACTTACTCCATGCTCTAAAAAAGAAACAAGATGCGAGATACAAATGGCTCTATGTGAGCTGTCATCACCACTTAATCTGTCTAATTTATTTTGAACTCTATTTCGGTTTTTGAATTCAAGAATTTGTGATATCAATAGACAGCCCAAGCGACTTCTCATACGCCTTCTCACTAACCAGCCATGAAACAAGGGTTTAATCCTTTCCAAAAAAGCCGTTTCATCTAAAATGGGATCATTTTTCGTACTCTCACTCTCAAAAAATGACGTTGAAGGTTCATCAGCGATCTTGAAAACATCTGCAGATGAAATAAATACCCCTGAATGACTCTTTCGGCGCTGTTTATGAGAGGTCAAATACCCAGATGAAGAAGTGCAATTTGTTACAGCTGACTGCTGAGGCAAAGAAATTGGAGTATTTTCGTCTTTCAAATAGGTTCTAAAATCACCTTTGGGATTGTTTCCTTTTCCCGCTGTCTCATCCAACTCCCGGGGCGGTGCACGCGTGTAAAAGAGACTGGCCAACATCACAAACCTGGGAGAAACTAGCATTAAAACAACAAGAAATAACCAAGAAAATGAAACCAGAAAGATTATTACTTTGAAGTATCATGGAAAAAACGACAATGCAAAATCATGGCATATACATATATACATGGCAACAAAAACACAAGAGAAACCTTAATAAAGTCAAAAAAAAAAGCTGCGACGCCGTTTCGGGCGCCTACGCAATTCGTAAACAAAAGCACAAAAAACGCCTGAACCAAACTACGACATAACTCCCCTGCTTTTTTTTACAAATGCCATTTCAAAGCAAAAAGCAATATACGTTTCTCCACCACTCCACGCGGCAGGAGGCCGAAGCAAAAAAAAAAAAAGCGCCCCCCCCCGACTGCGTACGAGCAAACCCCGACGACACAACGCCGTGCGACCGCGCCGCGGCGTTTGTAGAGGTTCGCGTGCGCGAGCCGCTCCGCCAGATGCCCGGGTGGGCGGGGCACCCTTGTGGGCCGCGTGGCGGTGGGCGCCGGCATACGAGGAGGGAGAGAGGGGTGGCGCGTGGCCTTTGTTACTATTCTTTACGGAGTTGATTTTTGAAGGGACATGTTGGGCGGCGTTTCTTTTCTTTTGCTGCGGATGTTTGTTGCACCTGTGGTTATTTCGTTGTGGAAGACACCGTCGGGATAAATGGTTATGGAGCATGGTTTTTGAATTGTGGTCGTCGCAAATTTATCTTTTTTACCATGTTTGTTGTTTATATATATTAATAAGGAGGAGATGTTTGAGGATTTTGAATTTGATAGCTCAAATCCATTGAAACGACTGAGGAATGAGGAGCGAGGGTTAGATAGTATCCAATCACGACCTCAAGCTCGATTTGCCACGCAACTTGCCGAGATATATTACATAAGGGCCTCGAAACTTGAGGCTGAGAAGGAACGGAAACGGGGTATAGAAGTTTACAGCTTGGAAGATTTGTTGCCTTCTTTAGCCCAGCAAGTAGGTGCTACAGCTCATTATTATCAGTTAATTAAGGAGAAGTGCGTTCCGGTATCATTTGCTCGTTCTAACGTCCCTTTGGAGCCTCCTAAGCGAGCATGTATAGCAACCATATTGGCCATACTGATACAAGTAGTTGTTTTTGAGGAATGTGGCGCCTATATATCGATTTCTACATTTGATAGATGGTTTAACAGTTTTTCTCTTCATGGGGGAAGTCCAATCTCAAGATGCTGGTTAGATTCAAAGGCATATGTTGCCAAATGTATTGCACAGAAAAACCGGATAACCGCATTTGGTCAGGAGTGTATTTGGAATCAATTTAATAAATTCAAAGAACTGCATTCTCTTGGGGGGAGAGTTTCATTAATGATTTTACGAAGTATTGGCTATAAAAATATGCAGATGTATCAGAATGAAGGATTGGATTTTGAATTATTATTCAAGGACGTCTGTATGAATGGACTTTATAACGCATACAGTTTTTCAAAGGATACACTGTTATGGCATATATGGTATAGGTCTTTTCTCCAACTATTGTCTTATAGAGTCATTCCCATACTGAGTGAGCGTGTGACTGCCGAGAATTTGTTTATGGAAGGTATCAAGTGTAGCAGATACCTTATTTTGGATTTAACTAGAATAATAAATGGAGATAATACCAATATGGAGTCTGCGCTCTTGGTTACAGAGTTATATATTCTTTGTGGTGGAACTTCTGGGGAATTTGCTGCAATTTGTTTATTTGTAGCATTAAAATCTTCGCTTGGTTTGCATTTTTCGGGAGAGCCTACAACGAGGGCCGGGGTAGAGCTTTCCGCTGAAGTTATGTCAAAACTATTTACTGAGCTTATTCGGTTTTATACTTTTCTTTCTCCTTCTACGCGTCATTATCACTTGCTGGATATATGTCAGTCATTATGGCAGAGTTCAAGAATCACACGTCAGACGGCAATGCTTACACAGTCTTTTATACCCCAACGGCAGAAACGATTGCCTCTTGTTCATCAAGAAGATGTTTTTAAACATTCAACTCGGACGGCATGCGTTTTAGTTAATGAGGGAACTGAAATTCAGTCGAAACCTTTTTCGACTTGTCTTTTAGGTGGACTTCGGTCAGAGGAAAGACTTAAAAAATTAGTGAAATGCATCCAATTTCAATGGAAAAATATACCTATGATTAGTGATTTTTTTGGGGCCACCGAGAGAAATTTTAATGATGACTCGGTTGTTAGTTCATCTTCGTCTTGGAAGCCTATTTCTAAATTGGTTTGGGAAAAAAATATTACTACTTCTTGGTGTACAATTGAGTTACCCGAAGAGTCTGAAGGAAATCAAAGTTTTTTCGAGAAGTTTCTCAGGAATGCGACTGATTCTTTAGTAAAAAAAAGAGTTGATAATGCCATGTCATCATTGAGCTGTAAAAAACAAAATTGAAGTTCCTTCTCAACATTTTGAACAATATATTTTGTTTTGTTTTGGAGCATTTTGTGACTATGTATATATTGATTTTTTTCTTCCTTGAGTATGTTTTCAATAATATATAATACATATATATACTATATATATATATA